AAAATTAAGGGCTCAAATTTTCAGGGATTTTTTTTTTCGATACAAGGAACAAAATTTTCATGTGTCAGCGGGAAAAAAAAAATGTTCGTTTCAAATGAAGCACCCTAATATATATATATATAAAATGAAAGGTAATTATTTATTCTATCCAATTATGCAAAAATATATAGGGTGTTCCATTGAAGAAAAACAAGATTTTAAACTTTTAAAATCGCTATTTTCAACGGGACATAGAAACCACCCTTTATGATATTTTCCAAAAAATATAATAATTAACTTATAGCTTACTTATTATTAAAGAGATGGATACTACATAATATAAAAAATAATAACTTTTAGTTGATTATTTTTAACTTTTAGCGAGTGTCTACATTTAGAGAAATTTTAATAAATCTTAATTTTACTCAAAAAGTATTAACATTTTCTTAATTAATATATTTACAAAGTATACCTAAAAGAGTGGGTAGAATCCAAAAATGCAAAAAAATACAGGGGGTTCCATTGAAAATAAGAAAGTTGGTATCGTCCCAAGGAAAACCGAACACCCTGTATAAATGAAAATATAATATTTTAAAAATATTTTTTACTTCGTGAATATTTGTTTCTTACAAATTTTTTGTGACTCCAGTAGTTTCTGAGATAAGTATATGGGTCACCTTACGTGGACCACCCTGTACATATATCTAGATATGTGAGAGTTCGGGCAGAAAAGTCCCGGCCGTGTTTATTTTTGTACTGGATTTTCCTTGTTTTAAATAAAATCTTACCTATACACAGTGTATATTGAAGCGGCACGGTGCACATCGCTCGCAATATTACCAAGTTTATATAGTGCTTTTTGTTTGAAAAAATGGATGAAAATGAAGATGATGGTGATGGGGGGACGTTCAAACCTGTTAAGGATAGAAACAAACGAGGTAGAGAATAGGATTTGATAATAATGGAGAACCAAAACTTCAACCTCATAAAAAACGCGTGACGAAAGACCTCGGAAATAACAAAAACGAACCCACAAAAAACAACAACACTGCACACAATTCCAATCAAAACAAAAACCAACATCCACAAAAAAACATCAACTACAGTGACAACATGAATGCTATTTTGCACAAAAAATTTAAACTTATGTACTTTATCAGTCCTACCAACATTGATACGACTCGGTTATTCATGGCTGATACATGGGAAATCGAATTCCCTAAAACGAAAGACGTCATAATCAAAACAAAACATGGATTTCTGCTCAAAACAGACACCGATAAGAAAATTATAGTAAAATCGTTGGAAAACCTGAAGACACACTCAATAATTAAAGATTTTAAGGAAACTGCACCGAACACAAGTCCTAGGCAGATCAGCGCCCCGTCGTTTTCTGTAGTTATAAGCAGAGTAGAGACAGAAATAAGTGACATTGACATCAGCAATCATCTCAAAGAAGAAGAAAAACCACATCGATATTGCAAAAGAATTATTTCAAAAGCCACCAACAAACCCACCACACTTATAAGAATAATAAAAGCTAGTGAAATAAAATTTAAATCCCTGCTTCAAGATGGATTTTTCTACAAGAGCTGTCACTACCCAGTCTATCCTAGCACCCCACCCCCAGCTGCTCCCAAACCTTGCATCAAATGCAACTCATTTAACCATACTACTGAAAATTGCCAAGAAAAAACAACCTGCAACAAATGCTCTGGAGACCACGCAACTAAAAAATGCACTACAAATCTTGACCCTAAATGTACTGCCTGTAATGCTATTGATCATCAAGCATGGTCATTTAAATGCCCCAAGCGACCAACAACTCCTATACCAGGCATTCCTAACATGCCAATTAAACCAATTAACCAAAAATCTAGAGAACTACCAGAGGAAATTAAAAAATCAAGGATTCACTCTTCAATTACCATCCACGATCACATAATAAACACATACATCAACACTCTAAACGATGAAAAAAACAATGAGGAAAAAAGGGAGGAACTTATTCAAAAACTAAGGAAAATGTTTGTAAATAACTTCAAGATTGACACCCAGGTAGTATTTTCTGGAACCCGAATGTATATCCTAATGTTTGACCTGGAAAAACCCAACTCCGAATCCCCCACAAAACCATCCACGGAGGAAAATATAACTCAATATGTCAGTTAAAATTCTATACAATAATATAAACAGCTACTCAAAACGAAAACTTAATATTGATAACTACATACAACAAAACAATATCCAGTGTACAATGTTTGTAGAAGCTAAGATCTCCCAGAACCTCAGTACCCAATATAGGGACTGGAACCAAGTATTACAAAAGGGAAATCAAATACACAACAAAACACGAGGATGGAGTCTTGTACAAATGCATCCATCCATAAAATTAGGCAAGGCAAATGCCCCAAGAATAAACAACCCTTTGAATGAGGTAATACATTTTACTCTTCCATTCTTCAATGATTATCTGCATGTCTTTTTAGTATATATACACCCTTATTCCAGAATAGAGGAAACTATTTTTACAAAAGCTTCCCTGTACAAATACTCCTTGATTGTTGGAGATTTTAACGTAAACAGACAAAAAAAGAAACAATTATCAACATTTACAAATAATACAAACTTTGTACAACACTCTACAGCCCCCACCTTTCTCATGGCCAATAATACTGATAGTACACCAGATATCATCCTCTATTCTGAAAATTTAAAAAATAACATTGACAAAATAAGCCTTGTTCCTGATCTGTGTTCTGACCATCTGGGATTTCTTATAGAAATAAACAACATTACACAACATCCTTACCGCACCCCCGAAATATGGCTATTTGATAAAACCAATATAGAAATTGTCAACAGTAATATGGCCAACTTTTTAACATCCAAACCAAATATGGACAGGCTCCACATAGACAACTTTCTTGAAACTCTAAAAAATGCAGTTATGGAAAATACTCCCAAAAAAGAAATCAAATTTTACACCCAAAAATTACCACCCTTTATCCTAAAATTAATAAAAAGGAAACGTAAACTTTATAGAGAATACAAAAATCTGGGAGATCCGCTATTAAAAACAGAAATAAATACTTTTAACAAGAACATTCAAAAATTAATTCATCAATACCGACAACATAAATGGATAGAAGCTTGTGAAAAAATCCAAGAAAACTATGGAAGAACTTACTGGAAAGAAATTAGTAAACTAACTAAGTATAAGGGCACTTCGAACCAGTTTAATACACCCCTGGTGGACAACGGCAGAACATACGAAACAACTAACGAAAAACTTGAACTCTTTGCAGACTATTTAGAAGACACCTATAAAGAAAGTACTGATGCAAATTTCTGTGTAGCCCACTATAATGAGGTCTCGCAATGGTATGCCAACTTCAAAGAAGAAGACCTTCCTTTGACAGCTGAAAGCGTTACGGAGGAGGAATATTTTAATATCCTTTATAAAGGAAAAAACACAGCTCCAGGCTACGACTGGATTACCAAGAAACTACTAAGACAACTAGACTACAAAACACACTTGGAAATTCTGAGAATATATAATTATTGCTTAAACAACCAATATTTTCCAGAAAAGTGGAAAACTGGCATTATTATAAACATTCCAAAACCCAACACCGATAAATCCCAAGTAAAAAACTACAGACCTATAACTCTCCTGACAAACTTGGCCAAAAATTTCGAAAACATTTTATGCAACAGAATTACAGAAGCAATAGGACACACGATTCCTCGCTATCAGTTTGGGTTCCAGAAGAATAAGTCAACCATTCATCCTCTGACAATACTTATTAATAATATACAAACTTCTCATTTGATGGGAAGAAAAACCACGGCACTGTTCCTAGACATCAGCAAGGCATTTGATAGCGTCTGGCATAAAGGGTTATTATACAAACTTCACCAGCTAAATTGCCCAAACAACATCCTAAAAATACTTATGATATTTTTAGATAACCGGAGTCTGCAGGTATCAATAAACAATAAAACCTCAAGAAACTTCATAGCCAAACAAGGACTGCCCCAGGGTTCCCCTCTCTCCCCTCTGCTCTATAACCTTTATTGTGCCGACATCTACAATGAAGATCCCATGCTCTTTGACCAAGATAAATATGTACTTCAATACGCAGATGACACCGCTATAATTTGCCATAGTAAAAATTAAAAAACTGCCTCTGACCAACTCCAAGTTCTGTCAAATCAAATCTTGGCATGGTTTAACAAATGGAGACTAAAACCAAATCCACTAAAGTCTCAACTAATACACTTCCACCAAAACAAGATTAACCCTAATATAACAATTAAGATGTACAATGACATAATAGAGCCAAAATCTAACGTAAAATACTTGGGAATCACACTGGATAATAAAGTAAACTTTAATCTTCACTCTTCCCTGTCAAAGAAGAAAACACTAACAAGGGCCAGCCACTTTAGAGGACTTACATACAACAAAAAAGGCATCAATGATGAAACAAAAAAAAAGAATAAACACCTTAATATGCAGACCAATCCTGGAATATGGATGCATCTTACTTAATAATGCCCGGAAACCAGCCTTAAGCAAAATTAAAACCGGGGAAACCTCATCACTCCGAAAAATCTCCAAAATGAGACATCCAACCAATTCTCTACACAACCCTCCCAACGACCTTTTGTATGCTACCTACAATATCTTACCAATTATGGAAAGATTTATCAAATTATCTACAAACTTTATTAGCAAGGACGCTAACTACAACATTCTGAGCGAGTTGTGTTTGGAGGTACAGGGCAACAGGAAGTTCAAGCACCCAGAGAAGACCATATGGGAACATCTTAAACAAACACGAGATAACATACTAATTAATTAATTTCAATTTCACGATTATATACTGTTTTTTTTTGTTACATATATTCAGGATATGTTCACCGGCTGAAGGACCTCGGTCAATGGCCATTTGTAAGAAATTGTATTAACTTTTTTTTTGCAATAAAGTTCATTTATTATTATTATTTCTTACCTATAGTATATGGCCAGCTAGCTGTATTAATATGATTGGTATCAAGATTTTCACTCATTAACTGGGTTTCAAAATATTGAATTTTTTTATCTTTTTCCTTTGGTGGTAAAGTCTCCCAGTGACCTGATGATTCAAACTGATTTATTTTTGAACCCTTTTCAAGTCTTTCAGATTCCAAAATATTAAGTTTCTTTTTGGCTTCATCAAGCTGAACTTTCAAACTATATACTTTTTCTTCGATGTTTGTTTTTGCTTTACTTTGTTCCTGTTTATATAGCTTTAGCTAAAAATATAAATATATTTAAATATAAATTTACTAAATTTATTAAAACCAGATCATGTTTTGTAATACACACACAAAATATTATTAGTATTTTGCTATAATAATAATTATTATTTAAATATATAAATTATGATTAGTGGATATTACAAATTTTAAAGGGTTTAAAACCGTTTTTCAATAAGAACTGGTCGATGTTGAAATGGAATTAAACAAGCTGTGTGTGAGGTATTAACAAAATTCCATTTTTATTTTAAAGGCCTATGTATGCCATTATGTATGAAATATGACATCGTTCAAATGTCCGCCGCAGCTTCTCACGGTGACACGGATTCGAGTGATCCAATTTTCAATGACTCTGCCGCATAGATCCGGCTGAATTTGAGCGATGGCCTGGGTTATGTTGACTTTAAGGGCATCGGTCGATTGCGACCTATTGGAATAGACCTGCGACCTAAGAAAACCCCACAAGAAAAAGTCTAGCGGTGTCAAAAGGCACGATCTTGGTGGCCAATTCAGCTCTGCGAGAGATAACCATACCCTCAAATCGTTCACGCAGAATGTCCACCGTGGCTTCTGCTGTGTGGCACGTAGCGCTGTCCTGCTGGATGATTTTTCGGCCAAACGTTTGGAAGCCCAGTCAGCAAACAAACGGAGTTGTCTATGATCATTAACTTTGAGCTTTTGGGTCAATTAGATCTTGTACGGGTGCAGGCCCAAGTCCCGTCGCAAAATTCGCCAAGTTGAAGTATGCGAAAGGCCGAGTTCTTGGGCACGGCGAGGAATTGACTGCACACTTTCACGGACAGCGGCGATATTTTCGGTAGATCTGGCGTTTTTTTGACGTAAGGGTTGGCTGATTGTTTACCGTCTCGAATTTGGCCACCAAACGTTGGAGAGTCTGCCGTAAAATGGGCGCAACGTTTGCACTAACGAAAACTCATTTTGATAATAAAGTCATCATTTGGACGTGCTGCTCAATCGTGTAACTTACCATGGTGCTTTGGCATCAGTGACCGAATAATAAACAACAGGTTAAACAATATGGCCGCCAAAGGCTGCCAACTTCGACCCGTCCAAAATTAAAAACTTTTATATTTTTTCCAACCTAGTAATGACTATATTTTTTGCCACATTAATTTAATTAAAATGTGAACAATTAAAGAAATAGTATATTGTTTACCAAGCTTGAAATCATATCAATTACTCCCTATGATGAAAATTTCGGAGCGAGCCGATAGGCGAGGGAGTAATTGCGATTCCACGCTAGGGAAACGCTACTTTTTTTGTCGAGTGGGCTAATTATTAATAAATTGTTAGAAAATTAAAAAAAGTTACGTTTAATTAAAAACTGACGTTTACATTCCTAAAGTCGTTTCAACTAAGTTAGTACGCTTACCTACATTATTTAAGCTTAACTCTATATACATATTAGGGTGCTCCATTTAAAACGGACATTTATTTTTATTCGCTGACACATGAAAATTTTGTACCTTTTATGGAAAAAAAAATTCGTCGAAAATTTGAGCCCTTAATGTTAATTTTAAGTGGTTCCTTTCCATCGATGGATATTTCCCATTTTAACATGTAAATCATGATTTTTTTAATTTAAATTAATATAGCTCCGTTTGATTTTATGGTATTTCATTGCGATTAGTCAGAATTTGTAGTATATTAGTGACTCTTTGAAAGTGCCCACTAGCATTTTTTTGTACTTGAACCCGTCTCATCGGTGTCGACTTCGAAAGTCCAATTTTCTCAAAAATTGTTATATTTTCGTTCTTACCAACAAATCAGTTGAAGTTATAAAAAAAATTTCAGAGAACAATTTGGAGGAAATTAAATTTCCTACAAAAATACCCCTGTATGGATTTTCTGAGGTGCGTAGTCCAAAAGGTATAAACAGTTTAATGTATTAAAATCTAAAAAAAATATGAAATTTTTAATTTTTATTGAATGATTTTTTAACTTCACCGCTTTTTTTAAGAAAATTAACCTCATTAAAAGTTTTTGAGATATTGAAAAAAATTGTCAACGCCTTATCTTCAAGAATAAAATGTCTCATGTGAATTTCTGATATTTATTGAGTGTAAACTATTGTTTTTTGTTCTTAGTATAAAATATACCAAAATTAGCTTTAAAAAGAAGTAAAATTATAAAAATAATTTTTTGCACCTGTAACTTTTATTTCTATCTACGGCACTGTTAACCTTAAAACAACTTTTATAATTTTACCGCGGGAAAACAATGATTAAAACTTTCAATCATACGCACAGAGTACTCTGTGATCATACGTTTTACTTACCTTGTATCATGCTTACGTACATTTTCAAACTCCACGATAGTAAAATCAGTGTTATATTATAAAAAAAAATATTTATTACTTCTCGATGCATCGCGATGCGCAGCTAATCTATTATAATCTATTATAATATATATTCAAGGTGTCCCTAAACTTAGTGGCATAAATTTAGGAGCAGATTAAGCAAGTCAAAATAAGACGAAATTCTAAATAAATATATTTCCTAATTACGTATTTTTAAAAGATACAGTGTGATAAAGTAATACATCATATCAGTTTTTTTAATATAACTTCTACTATGGTAGACTTGGAAAGGTGATATTTTGTGAACAGTCATTTACTAGCAAAACACACATTCACGCATAATTACAATTGTTCGAGTGAACACAGTGTCGTAGAAACAGGGGTTGCTTAAGCTTATTGTCTCATACAAACTTTGAGGTTAGGTTTTTATAGCATTTGATGCAATTTTCGATTTCTCAGTTTGGCTACTATTAAAAAGGTGTACTCTCAAACTCAAATAAAATTAACCATTTCCGAGATATTCGAGATTACAATATTTGTTATATCGAAGTAAAGGACTAAAAGGTAGGTATATGATAACACATTTTTTAATTGTAAAAACTACATTTTTTTTAATGTGACGGTCTGGGCAAAAAGTCCCAAGGCTCATGGAATGCCCTTTTTAGTTTTTTCAATTAAAAAATAAAATTTGTTATTATATACCTTTTAATCCTTTTAAATAATGCGATATAACAATTATTGTAATTTCGAATATCTTGGAAACGGTTTATTTTATCGAAGTTTGAGAGGTACACCTTTTTAATGGTAGACAAACTGTGTAATCCAAAAATTGCATCAAATGTTACAATAAGCTTAAAGCAACCCCCGTTTCTACGACACTGTGTTCAGTCAAACAATTGTAATTATGTGTGAATATGTGTTTTGGTAGTAAGTGTGTTCGCAAAATATTACCTTTCGAAGACTACCATAGTAGAATTTATATTAAAAAACTGATATGATAATTAACACTTTATTACCCTGTATCTTGGAAACCTATAAGTAATTAGGAAAAATATTTATTTAGGTTTTCGTCTTATTTTTACTTGCTCAAACCTTTCCTAAAGGTATGCCAATAAGTTAAGGTGTTCCTACCTTGTATAATAATTATTATTTAACTTCCTAAATCCTACTAAATATTTATACGTTTTTTTACCGATTTCTTTAATCATAATGGTATAAAAGAAGAAGAGACAAAAAGATAAGATGAAATTATTGCTCAATTTGACAATATTTTGGAGGTTATATTATAACTTTAACGACACATAACAAGCACACAAATAAATTAAAACAAAAAACACATGAACTTGATTGAAGTAGTAAATAAAGTAGAACTAAATATTGAAATTTAATTGTTGAATAAAAATTTATTGTTTATAACACGGATTTTACTATTGTGGAGTTTTTAAATGTACGAAAGCATGATACAAGGTAAGAAGATTATATTCAGGAGCTTCAATCCATATAAATTCGAGAAGTGGGGGTCCATAAAAACGTCGCACGTTACGATCACCGATAACGCAAAATTGAGTTCTGCGCATCTCCCCTCCTATCCTTTGCAGAGATAAAGAAGGTATTTTTTTAACCTACATTACACAGAACATTATTTTGTGCATCTGTCGCGTCAAACGTGTTAAACCCTTGTGGTTAAACCAATGTTTACCTTTACCAAAGTCATAAATAAACTTCTAGAAGATTATAATATAATTATATTATAATATTTGATACTATAATAAAATCATTGTAGTAAACAAAACAGTTTTCTAAAATAGTGAGTAAATTTATGAATTAATTAGTATTACTTTCGTTGGAGCAGAAAACCTAAACTGTAATGATGTTAATTTGGTCATGCATTTAAATTTCAAGTATAAAATAACTTTTGCAATGTAAAATCAGTCGTTCTTTGGTTTAATCATTACCTACACTGTAATGTTTCATTATAAACTTACTTATGGTATTTCAAATAACTGATGTGCAGGTTTTTCTTTGCTTGCAAATTAAAACAATTTTCAACACAGCAAAAACATCCAATAGTGATTTTCTCAAATAAAAATTTGGAATTTAAATAAAAACAAAAGTGCTTGTAAATCTAATCTAAGCGCGGTTGATTAATAATCATTTGTGTGCATTGTGCAGCTAGTGCTGCCCCTCCTTTATCAAGCTGCCAAGCGACGCGTTTCCTATGTATTCTCATATGGGGTCATTCCACGTTACTCGGGGATTTTTGTCCCGCCCGTCACAATTAAAAATTGTGAGTAAAAACTACACGTTATAAAATTTATTTAAAAATGTTGTTTTATTATGCTTTTAATAAGTTATAAGCACAATAAAAATAATATTATAAAATATTAATTTTATAACTTGTGGTTTTTACTCACAATTTTTAATTGTGACGGGCGGGACAAAAATTACCGAGTAACGTGGAATGCCCCTATGGGAGTTGAAGCTCCTGAATATAATCTTCTTAATACAAGGTAAGTAAAACATATGATGTAGAAAACAAATCGTCTTAGATTGAAACAGTTTTAATCAGAGCTAACTTCATAGTTTTCCCGCGGTAAAATGATAAAAGTTTTTTTAAGGTTAACAGTGCCGTATATAGAAATAAAAGTTACAGGTGCAAAAAATGATTTTTCTAATTTTACTTGTTTTTAAATCTAGTTTTGGTATATTTTTAAGGACAAAAAAAATATTTTACGCTCAATAAATATCTTATTATTAATTCTTGAAGATAATGCGCTGAAAAATTTTTTTCAATATTATTAAACTGTTTATACCTTTTGGACTACGCACCTCAGAAAATCCTTAGAGGGGTATTTTTATAGGAAATTTAATTTCCTACAAATTCTTCTCTGACAATTTTTTATAACTTTATAACGAAAATATAACAAATTTTGAGAAATTGGGCTTTCAAGGTCGACACCGATGAGACGGGTTAGTGGGCACTTTCAAAGAGTCACTAATATACCTACTACAAATTCTGACTAATCGCAATAAAATACCATGAAATCAAACAGAGCTATATTAATTGCAATTTAAAAAATCATGATTTACATGTTATTTAAATGGGAAATATACATCGATCGAAAGGAACCACTTAAAATTAAAATTAAGGGCACAAATTTTCAGGGAATTTTTTTTCGATAAAAGGAACAAAATTTTCATGTGTCAGCGAAAAAAAATAAACGTTCGTTTTAAATGAAGCACCCTAATATACAAGGTGTCCCTAAACTTATTGGGATAAATTTAGGAAAAGATTGAAGTCAAAATAAGACGAAAACCCAAATAAATATTTTTCCTAATTGCTTATGTTCCCAAGATACAGGGTGATAAAGTGTTACTTATCATATCAGTTTTTTAATATAACCTCTACCATGGTAGTATTAGAAAGGTGATATTTTGCGAACAGTCACACTACCAAAACACATATTCACACATAATTATAATTATTTGAGTGAACAACGTGCTTTAAGCTTATTGCCCCATACAAACTTTGAGGTTAGGTTTTTATAACATTTGATGCAATTTTTAGATTACACAGTTTGGCTACCATTAAAAAGGTTCACCTCTCAAACTTCGATAAAATAAACCGTTTCCGAGATATTCGAGATTACAATAATTATTATATCGCATTATTTAAAAGGATTAAAAAGGTATATGATAACAAATTTTATTTGTTAATTGAAAAAACTAAAAGGGCCTCGGGACTTTCTGCCCTGACCGTCACATTAAAAAAATTCTTTTTTTTTCAATTACAAAATTTGTTATCGTATACCTTTGAATCCTTAAATGCGATATAACAATTATTGTAATCTTGAATATCTCGGAAACGGTTTATGTTATCGAAGTTTGAGAGGTACACCTTTTTAATAGTAGCCGAACTGAGTAATCGAAAAATTGCATCAAATATTATAAAAACCTAACCTCAAAGTTTGTATGGGACAATAAGCTTAAGCAACCCCTGTTTCTACGACACTGTGTTCACTCGAACAATTGCAATTATGGGTGAATATGTGTTTTGGTAGTAAGTGACTGTTCCCAAAATGTCACCTTTCCAAGTCTACCATAATAGAAGTTATATTAAAAAAACTGATATAAGTAACACTTTATCACCCTGTATCTTTTAAACATACGTAATTAGGATAAATATGTATTTAGATTTTCGTCTTATTTAGACTTGCTTAATCTGCTCCTAAATTTATGCCACTAACACCTTGTATATATTAGGGTGATTTTTTTCACGACAATTTTTATTTTTTCGCTCCCAACTCAAAATCTTGTTGAAAATGTTAAAAAAAAAAAATCCCTGAAAATTTGAGCCCTTACTATTAACTCAAAGTACTCGACCAAAGCGTATAAAGATTCCCCATTTAAAATACACGTAAACTTTGATTATTTTTTTTTTTAATTATCTATATCTCAGCCGCATTTTATGCTATTGTATTGTTTCAAAAAAGGATTTACTCGTAATCAAAAGTTCTACAAAAATGCTTTATGTGCCATAGCTGTAATCTGCACATGTAGGATGGTACGGGTCACTAAATCTTATTTTAGTGAAAAATTATCATATTTTTGAAGATATTTCAAAAGTGACTGGATTCTTTGAAAAAATGTAAAGAACAAACTTGTAGAAAATTTAATTTTTTTTAAAAAAGGTCCTATCAGTTGAATCGCTAAGATTGATATTTCTTGAGATATAAAGCGTTTACATTGACAATTTATGAAATTTTTAGGATTTTCGTATCAAACTTTGTAGGTATAAATGATGATTTTCAATTGTTTATCAGTAAAATTTCATGTAATTACGTTTTTTCTACAGTCGGTGATTAGAGAAAAATAAATAACTCAAACAATCTAGCATAATTATTAATAACATAACTTTAAAGAAAAAAGATATATCTAACCTAAAAATTGATATAACGAGGTGTATTACATACAACATGTTATTTTATTAATAATTATGCTTGATTATTTTAGTTATTTATTTTTCTCTAATCACCCGACTGTAGAAAAAACGTAATTACATGAAATTTTACTGATAAACAATTGAAAATCATCATTTATACAAAGTTTGATACGAAAATCCTAAAAATTTCATAAATTGTCAATGTAAACGCTTTATATCTCAAGAAATATCAATCTTAGCGATTCAACTGATAATACCTTTTTTAAAGAAAATTAAATTTTCTAAAAGTTTTTCCTTTACATTTTTTCGATGAATCCAGTCACTTTTGAAATATCTTCAAAAATATGAGAATTTTTCAATAAAATCAGATTTAGTGACTCGTACCATCCTACAGGTGCAGATTACATATACATACATAAAGCATTTTTGTAGAACTTTTGATTACGAGTAAATCCCTTTTTGAAACAATCCAAGAGCATAAAATGCGGCTGAGATATAGATATTTAAAAAAAAATCAAAGTTTACGTGTATTTTAAATGGGAAATCTTTATACGCTTTGGGAGAGTACTTAGAGTTAATATTAGGGGCTGAAATTTTCAGGGAATTTTTTTTAACCATTTTCAACAAGATTTTGAGTTGGGAACGAAAAAATAAAAATAGACTTGAAAAAAAAGCACCATAATATATATAGCACCCTATATATATATATATATATATATATATATATATATAGCACCCTATATATATATAAAACTTTTTTTTTCGTAAATATGTTAAATATCCTTTACCAAACTCTACTGCCTAAACTAGAGGTAGACAAGAATAACATAAAAGAGGTCGCTTGAGTTCAGATTAAGAAGATAATTATTAATTACCCATTATGGGTAATGTTACGCTGTATCATACAAAAATGCAAATCTTTCAAAAACATTTTTCTGAACGGTAGTGGTTGCACTGCACTGCATCTTAGAAGCTAGTGGAAAACTCGCGTTGTATGCAGACAAGAGATATTGGCCGACCTTTCTCATGGATTTTCAAAGGGTTTGTGTAGCATAAAAGTGCATGTATTTGAAAAATATACAAACTCTATTTTGTCATAGGCTTTGACAACCTTAAGGCTACATAAAGAGAACTTCAGACCAGTTTATTTGAATTTTATAGAAATTTAAAAAAGTCGTGCTTTAATTTTATCCATCAGTTTAGTTGTAACCCAACAAGAATTTGTTGGCCCAACACATAGGTAGTTCCTTCAACAAACTCTCTTTATGCATGTGGCAAATTAAATAAACTTAATTCTTACTTACCATTTTTTCTTTCATTTTTTCCAGTTTACCTTCATATTCAATACGAATGTGTTTAATTTTCCCTGCTTCTTCTTTTTTAATTTTTTCCATTACTCTTTTATTTGTTTCTGTTACTTCATCCTTTTCTTTTTTTCTTTTATATTTAATAGTATCTAATTCAGTCATAAGTCTATTATTTTCTTCAAGTAAATTTTCATAAGCCTCCTTAACGTGAATATAATTTTTATTTTCTTCGGTTTTACTTAAAATGGAAGTGTGCAAGCGTTTATTTTCAGATTCAAGTGTTGAGTTTACATTTTTAGTTTTACAGTAAACATCTTTTAAACGTTGATATTCAATATTTAAAGCTCGTTCGTGATAAATATTTTTTTCAAGTGCCTGCTTAGTAATAATATTTTCATTTAAAATTGCATTGCTATGATTAGCAATTGTCTTTTGTGTTTGTTTACTCTGAATATTTAAATTAAATTGTTTATTTGCCATTATATTTTTTTCATCATCCATCACAATATATTTGTCTTCTATTTCCATATTTAATAAATTATTATTTGTCTTTAATTTTGTATTAGAATTTTCCAGTATGCTATTGTTTTCAAAAAGATCAGCGTATTTTTTCTCTAAAATATTATATTTTTGTAAGACTTTATGTATATTACATGTTAAATCAGTTATTTCAATATTAGACTCATCCCTTATTTTTTGGCCTTCTTTAACTGCGTTGGAATATTTGTCCATATAAACATGTAATTCATCTTTTAATAAAATAATTTGTTTAATATAATGTATTTCATTTTTTAAAGATGTAACCCAAAATTTGTTTAATTCTAGGATTACATTTTTTATATCTTCTTCATTATATTGAGTTTTAATTAATTTCATTTGCCTTTCTTTAAATAAAATAATAATACTTTCAAATGCATCTTTAAACGAATTAAATTTTACAATTCTTTTTTCTACAGAATTAATTTTAATTAAGAATTCATTAGTATCAAATTTATGTAATTGGTCATCCCTTTCTTTTAATGATAATATATTTTTCAATAATAGTATTTCTTTATTGATGTCTTTTAATAAAAGTTTATTATCCATACAATTTAAGAAAAATTTTTTTTCTTGTTCATTGGGTTTTTCTTTTACTTCTGTGTCTAAATCACATGCATGTTTTATTATATTTGTGTTTTGTTGTATTACATTTGATATTGGGTTATGAATAATATTTGTTTTTGTTATATCTAAATATTTATTTTTTTCATGTTCCAAATAAAAGTTAACATTATGTAACTTCTTAAAAATATCATTTACTTCATTAATTTCTTTTAGCCAATACTCTTTATAGCAGAGGCAGGATTCAGTTAATTTTTCCTTTGTTAACTTTAAATTTATTACTTCTTTATTTAAGTTTTCCACTTTATTTTTAAAATTAATGTTGATATCATTTAAATATTTTAATTCATTTTCTTTTAGAACTAAATTTTCTTTTAATTGACTTATTTCTGTTTGTTGTTCATTTAAAATACATTTTAAATTGTTTACCTCAATATTATTTTTCTCTTTTGTTTCTTCTATAATCATTATTGTACCTTCTTTTTCTTGCAAGCAAGTTTTTTTAATTTTCATTAAATAACTTTTATACAGTGATATTAAATTGTTTAAATTAGATTCTTTTTCTTCAGATGGTTTTAAAATAGAATGAAAATCTATTTTACTTTTAAGTAATATAAATTCATTATCTATTTGTTTATTATTAAATATATAATTTTCACACAAGTATTTATTTTCTTTTTTTATTTCAACTATTTCAGAATTTAAATTTGTAATTTTGCAACTCAATTGATTATAATCTTTTAATATAAAATTTAAATATTTCATGTTATTTTCATAAACATTTAATGTGTTTCGTAAGTCCGCTTTTATGTTTTCAATTTTTGCTTCAAGATTAATAATTGTTTTGTCTTTATGTTCATTGCTGCCTTCCAAAGATTTTAACAATTCCTCTATTTCAGAGACTTCTTTTAACAAATGAAAATTATAAACTTTTACATGTTGAAGTTCTTCATTTAAATAATTAACAGTTTCTATTTCATATTTATAAAGTTCATCAATTAATTTATACTTTAAAGACAGTTCTAAATTTTCTTGTTTTTGTTTACTGTATAAACTTTTAGCATTTGCAATGTTTTGATTAACTAATATTTCTAATTCACATTTAGCTTTTAATGCTTTGTCTAACTGGTTAATTAAGTTAGCAAACTTTATTTTATTTTTTGACATTAACACTGCACCTAATTTGTCTAAATTATTTTCTGCTTCAGATGCCTAAAAATAAAAGAATAATATAAAAATTATACTTAGTAATCCCATAAATAAAAAACATAAAAAATATAAGTTAAATTACATTAATTTTCATAATATATACAAATTATAACATATAAAACAATACCTAGTTGTGACAAAATATTATTTAAAATCTTAAAGTTAAATTCCAATTAATATATGAATAAAAACAACAGAGTTTTAAAGTGTTACTATTTTATGTATGTTTGCCTTGGTTGTAAGATTCTAAAGTTATCGTCAAATCTTACATGTAGCGGCACCAAACTAAATCTTCTGGAGTCTTTGGAAATTAATAAACCAAAGTAAAAATCGGATATTGTTCTTAATGTTATTAGTGTTGTTTTTATTTATATATTAATAATATGGAAGTTCATCAAGTAAAGGTCGAAACAATCAACAACTAAAATCCAATGTTATTTAAATGGGGAAAAGAATGGGTTAAAATTAAAAATAAAAATCTGAAAAAAATTGGGTGGTGTTTTTAAATTATTTGGAACCATTCTAGGGAGCCACACCATTAAAATTTCACCACGCCCATTTAAATGACCACCCCAATATACATATACATGTATGTAGCAGTCAAATAATAAAATACGGAAAATGATTATAATCATATAATAATTATTTGCCTATGCATTTACTACGCGTTAGAGTTAGTAAGTTATTAAGAAAAGTGGTTTAGAATCAAAAGAATACCCCAGATACCAACTTTCGTTTAAAAAAATTCTTATTTTTAATTTTTATTCATAAATTAAATTGTCAGTCCCAAATTGTCAATATTTTGCTTTGCGTTAAGGTTATATCAAAAGAATATCCCTGAAACCGAAAAATTTGAAATTTTAATTTTTATCCATACATTTTTCAGTACCAAATTTTAATTTTAATTTGATTATGAAGGAAAATGGAGACATATTTTAATGAATTTTACAAAACATATTTTTAATGAACTTTACAAAATCAACTTAGAGATTATAAACAAAAAGTTATTTAGGTAATAGCCTCAAAATCAATTTTAAATATAGCCCCTTTTTACCAGTTCGCTGTCAATCCGAATGCATTTCTGGATTCGTTTCTTATTGTTTCTTGATACTCTCGTCCATTAATTTATTTGCAAGCCTGCCTAATTCTGTCACAAAGTTCATCTTGATTTTGGGGTCTTACTTTATTCTTAAGAGTTAGGTAAAAAAATCAAGTGGTGTTATGTCTGGTAACCTAGCGGGCTACTCGATGATGGGACTGTTTCTCCCGATCCATTTATGTGGAAAGTGCTCGTTTAACCATGCTCGAACGATAACGGCATTAAAAATAGATGCGCCATCAAGTTAAAAAAACATTGTTCAATTACACCTCATAATAATTATTATTATTATTATAATTATTCAGTTTCCAAAAAATCCAAAAATCGTTGAGCGTTTAAGTTATTACGAAAAAAAAGGTCCAATGATACGATCGTTCAAAATGCCACTCCTCACATTTATTTTTTGCCTCTTGCAATTGATAACCCAATGTGGGTTGTCTCCTGCCCACCACCTGCAATTTAGTGATGATACAACACCATTAGTTGTTTTAGGAAATTTCCATCTTCCAGGAAATTGCCCTGCGACCAAAAACAGTATTATAAGTGCCTCCTATCATCACCCTCTTATAAAGTATGTAAAAATTTTGGTTTAAATGCACTTAGTTTGTGGCGATATAAGCAACGCCAAATTTTAGATCATGTAATATTTAAATTTAATGCCATATCTATTACACTAGAATGAGAATTAGCGCGATAAGCCGACAAAATCATTTCGTCCAAGAGAGTTCTCTTGCTATTCTTCTTCAGAAAATTATTCTGTCAGTGCACAGTAGGGTGTTTCAAAAAAATTAAAATTATTTTTTTTTACATTGTATATATATATTATATATATAGATATATATATATATATATATATATACATCCCGCTTACAATGCTGCATCATTTCAAAGTACCGTCATTATAGCGTCTACCAGAAATACTGCAGTATATCGTGATTTAACATTGTAGAAGTGTTAATTAGACAAAATATTGACCGAATTTTACGTTAAATAATTATAAACCCTTTTTTAAACTAAAAATTCATGTTACTATCATTGCTGCTTCTTTTTATTTTGCTATCATTTCTGCGTCGATGTATATCGAATTTGTTAAACCATCATTGCTGCAACAGAAATGAATATTTTTTTCAACTCCCCCGTCTTTTCTGCGTCACCTATGTTGCCAGATCTTGTCGACGCATCATTGATTGTCTTTTGTACTAGGATTTGAATATTAAATTTATTAAAATAAATATTTAAAATCATAATACCCAATAATTTCGTCGTGCGTTGTGACTTGTTTTTAGCGCATATATATCGACGCTCACAAATAAAAGGCATAATATAAGTTCTTTAGAAATTAAATGATAAATTTTTTATGTATAATTTGTTGTCATTCAATAGTTTAAGGTAGTCTGGATAAATTCAATTTTTTAGCTTTAAAGGATGTGCAGAAAAAATTCTAGCCTACGGGATTAATTTTTGATATGTTTAATTAACATACAAAATGTGTGCCACTGACATTTTTAATTTTTATAGCATAATAGCATAATTCAATTATGATAATTGTAGACAATAAGGTTCCTTATTGATATTTTTGGTATTAAATATTTTAGCTAAGAAATTAATTAATATTTCCAAATAAGGCTTAGATATTCGAAGGACCGTTTCTAACGTTTTCTCAGTCAGGGTGGGTAATAAAATTTGCCGCTCTAATGTTGGTATACCTAATATAAATTGTTTATAATATAATATGTATAAGTGTTTGAAAGTAAAACGTCAAAAAATGTATCTAAAATAAAAATATTGACGGGCCAAAGCGTTTTTTTAAATTGTAATTAAAAAAGTGCTCTTAATCTAAGGAGGCGTTTTTACCAAAACCATAAATAAAAAAGGGATTATTTTAAAGGATTTTTAAATCTTTATTTAACTACGTCTTAGAATAAGGCGAAACGGTTTAAACTTTCCAATTTTAGTTTTTTATCAATATTAATCCACTTAGGAGTGAAGAATATTTATAATTTAAATTTGTTTAAACTGTTTGCCTTTTTAAAATATAAAGGGCCAAATTGTATGTAAAAAACTAAGGATGATGTATTTTTAATATTTTGAAAACGTCACATTTTTGTACTAGGACAGCTGTTTACTTTCCGTCCTAAAATGTAATCAGATGTTTACTTTCGTCTTTGGATAATATAATTATTATTATTGTTGCTGTCATCACATATCGTCCCAATAATCGTATGGTAGCGTATCTTTAATTTAACAATTTTACAGAGCATTTTAAAGATTGAAAGTTATCTAATTCTATCTAGTTAGCTAATTTAGAATATTTTTTGAAAAAAAAATATCAAAAAATATGCTATATCTATATCTTTTTTTACATGCGTGTGGAAACAGCGCCGGATTTAGAGGGGGTCTTTGGGGGTCTATAGACCGGGGGCGCAAGCTTACAGGGGGCGCAAAATTTTTGACTGGTAATTTTTGTTTTTTACTACAACCTAAAGGGTTTTCCCCTTTTTTTATTTTTCGTGTATTAATCAGTTTTAATAAAAAAATTATTTAAATTATAACCGTGATTGTTGCCATAGTATTATTATCTATGCATAGTATACGAAATATCACTTAGGGCGCCCGACAAGTTGTTGGGCGACAAGAACTTTAGTTTGCAGAAATTGATTATTTCCACCGATGATATGCGTATGGGAGTAAAGGTTTTTTAATATAAGAATATTTTATTACACTACGAACAACTATTAATTTAAATTAGTTTAAAACTATAGTTATATACAGTACCAGTCATATATATATATGTATGTATATGTACAGTATAGGTATTAGCCTATTGAAAGATGACGTCAATATTGCGATAAACAAATTTGCTTCTCTAAAAGCACGCAAAGTTGAGTTGGCAAAATGTTAATTTTCTTATTTAGGTATTTGTTTTTTATATAGTTTTTGTTTATGTTTTTAGGGTGGCAATATTTTTTCGACATTTTTTTTTATTTCGGAGCTCACATGAAACAATTTAAGTTTAAAGTATTCAAGTTTCAACTAAAAAAAAAATCAACTAAATTGGAAAAATAGTAGTGGTACAAGATCAAAATTATTAAAAAAATGTATTTCAAAAATATTGATCGACCAATAATATTTTGACTTAAAAATGTATTATGTTCCTATACGACCTACAAAAAAAATAGTGAGAAGCCAAAGATTTTGAGAAAAAAGGTTGGTTTAAAAAAGTTTTGAGCGACGTCTAAAATTTTTTTATCTGTTGAAACTCAAATACTTTAGACTTATTTTTTTTATTTGATCTCCAAAATCAAAAAAAAAAATCGAAAAAATACTACAACCCTAATGTTTATGGTTAAATAAAATCCTTTTGTTAAGAAGTGACATTTCTTTGAATTAATTATATAGGTAGGGGCGGAAAATTTTTATTAGACCCGGGGCGCAAATTTTTATAATCCGGCGCTGTGTGGAAAGTTTCTACAAAAGTCAGTGTCAATTAATTTTTAAGAAAATAATGAACCACCGTGTAATCGTCATAGTAATGATAAATCCTAGTAGGACCGCGGTATACCGTGGAGAAAGAGTTCAATTTTCTCCACAGTTTAAGACTGAGCCACTTTCTTAATTGAAAAAGTATAGGAAATGTACAAATTCTTTAATATGATTAGAAAAATATATTTACAGAGCCTGACTCAAAAATTATGTGGAATCCAAAAATGCAAATAAAAGGGATATTTTTATTAAAAATAAGAAAGTTGGAACCGTCCCAGAGAAAACCAAATATCTATAAGTAAAAATATTATTTAAAAAAAATTGTATTAGTTCATTAGTATTTAGTCATTTCTTTTGACAAAAACAACAAATTATATCAACCTGCAAAGTTACAAGAGCCCACAGCACTTCTAAGTTTGAC